ACAGTGTCAGTGCAGTTTTCATTCCTGGGATATTAGTTAATTGATTTGAGGGAACGTTCCAGATGATATTCTGACTGGAACTTGGAAATGTAAATTTCCAGCTGCATCTAGAACGTGGCATTGGATTACCAAACACCCTCATGCTTACTTCCATCTCAACTTCTAATACTAAGCGTGTCAGCAGTAACCATGACCTCTGCTTTTCTTGAACAACATCACACAGCGAACATGAATCCATTTATTTTCTATTACTTATCTGAAGCCAAGTTACAGTAGTAACAGGACATTTAGGGTATTGGAGATGGAAGGGATGTGTCCTCTCTCCAGCCTGTTCGATGTCTGTGTTGGTGTCTGGCATTGAGATTGAGCTGAACTTCCAGAGGTCTCCTTTTGCCATGTTTGACAGTGTTAGGCCCAGCTCTTTGTGGGATGAAGTCTGTGTACCTAAAATCTGCTGCTGGTTACCAAAGCAGAGCCTGAAGCTTACAGATCCTAGTAGTAGCTGGTCATTGGTACAGCTCTGGGTCCTAACACATAAAATCTTTAACATGGAAAGATGTGAGTAAAGTTAGAGCCTTTGTTGTTTGCACATCACTTTAGCAAGCTGAGAGCCATCCAGGGAGTGACTGAGCTGCAGAGCTAAAGTGCCACAGCCTCTGCTTAAAGGATTTCACACGTTCATCCGTAGTGTTTTTCACCTTTTACAAGGACAGTGTTGTTTTACCTAACACTACATTTAGAGCGTCACAACACAAACACACTGTCAAAATGTGTGTTCAAAAGGAGAAAAGCAAAAACATGCTGCAGCTCCTGTGCACACTGATTCTTGCTGAAGAGAGACGTGACTTTGGTTTGTTGCCTTTCAGACTGGCCACGACAGCTCCGTGCTGGAGGAGCTGAGGATGCAGCTGGCACAGAAGGAGAGGGAGCTGCAGATGATGAAGGCAGGAGCAGAGGAGCTCAGCTCACTCAGACAGCAGAATTACCTACTGCAAAGCAAGGTGCACAAACACGTCACTACTTTCATTCCATATATATGGGAAATCTGTAGGATGGCCCATTCTTATTTGGGTACTGCCAGGGTAAGACTTTTTTCTCTCAACAGCTGAGAAGTGCAGAAGAAGCCAGTCAGAAGAAGAGGTGGGTGGAGGCTGCAGATGTTGCTGCAGATGAGAAGTTCCAGCAGATTGATAAAGAAATAAAAGAGCAGGAGGCACTCATAAAAGGTTACCAACAGGTTAGTGACCCTGAACTCTACATCTTATTGTGACTTTTGTCACAACGTTTTTCTCTCAATGATTTCAGTGTTATTTCGACTTTTTAAGGACTTTTATTAGGACTTGTTTCTAAAACAAATAGACTGTTTTCTCTGTCAGCTGTAA